GACTTGAGATACAACTTGGAAAATGCCAGCTCTTGGTTTTCACTTTTATTTTGTCTACAGAAAAACAATAGAGCAGCTCTTCTGTTGAAAAGAACTCCAAAAGAGCACAATAGGTCAGAATGGTGTTAACGCTATGGATTGCTATATGAAAACTCTGGGCTTATCTTATGAATCATGTTTGCACACTTAGTGCTAACATTTTGCAGCATCCCACAGCACTCTTGAAAGGATCTCCCTATCTTTCACTATGGGAAGAGATATTGCTGTAGGGAACTTTCTGTCTGAAGCTTTGCTTATTCGGTTTTTGCAGGACAGATCTTTCACCTGAAAGGGGAGGCACAAGTGGGAACATCAGACTCCTATAATTTTAGTGGGGGCATGTTGTGGAGCAGGGGGCCCCTGGGGTAAACCAATGATGAACCATAACAACTCTGTTCCAAGTGGAATACACCTGTCTCAGCTGCTTTGCTCCCAGAGGCCTGAGGAAGTGTACTGTGATACCTGAAAGCTTGCCTTTGTCTATCCCAACCATGCAGTTGGTCCAAAAAAAGATATCACTCAAAAAATGTCTTGCTTCTTGTATATTTCCTGAGCCATTATGGCAACAGCATCACGCCTACAAGCAAGGTTTGCTTGCTTAACTGCTTATGCAGATCAGTGTGGGAGAAAGATCAGCAGGGAGTTAATGTGAGAACGCTAGGAACTACCTTACAACCGCTGGTGGCTATTTACCTGGCGCAGACTGACTCACAGGATATTTTAGGGTCCAAGACTCTCCATTTCTCTGAAGGGTCTGTCAGAGTTTTAACCATAGTCCCCTCCACTGTGGAAAAAAAGCTAATCCAACCACTTAATTAAAAAACCCATTGGACTGTCAAAACAGTGTCTGCTGCAGAAGCAATTATCTCCAAATTGATCATCATCACAACTGAAGTACCATTTGGCAAGCCTAAGTAGAGTCCCTTTATGGGTGGTAATGTCTACCCAGTCTGCTTGGCCAATCTTGCTGGGCGATACAGTGATCTGAGCAAACCCAATAAATGAAATGACAAAAGTACTCCTTTCTGAGCTATGGGAGGAGTCAGCTTTGGCTATAACAGAAAGAAAGGAGCAATATTTGTAATCCCACACTAGACCTTCATCTAGTAGCAGGGCTAAGTAAACAATTTGCAGTGGAAATGTTATTTAATGAGTTTAGCCTCTCTTTCTGCTTACTGACTGTGATTTCCTCTGATTCATTCATTATTCAATCTGTTTGACAAATGTATCTTGAAACAGTTATACCAGCAATTCAGAGTCCATGCAGACTTTCTTTGTGAGGATTGGTGAGGTAAGTCATATGGTGTTCTTCTCCCTGATTAGATGAGTGTGTGGTACATCAAATGTAATTATTGCATATCTGTGAACATAAAATTCAGGTTCACAAATACATGTGCGTTGCATTAGGAAATTTGCTTTCCGCAAGTGTTTGTCCCTGTAAAGTCAATATGATGTTTTCAGAGAAAAGACTGCATAAATCTTAATGATGTTGGAAAGGCAGGGCCTTATGTTCTCAGTGGTGGTAGACAACAGAACAAGGAGAAATGCTCTCAAGTTACAGCAAGGGAAGTTTAGATTAGATATTAGGAAAAACTTTTTCATTAGGAGGGTGGTGAAGCACTGGAACAGGTTACCCAGAGAGGTGGTGGAGTCTCCATCCTTGGAGGTTTTTAAGAGGTTATATAGTTGAGGCTGGGGTTGGACTAGATGACCTCCTGAGGTCCTTACAACCTTCATTTTCTATGATGTGTGGTCTTCTTTACTTGCCCTTCAAAGTGTCCCATGTAAATGCTCAAAGCTTTTAGGTTTCATTTGAAAGGAGAACCAAGTGAATTTCAAAACAATAATACAGCCCAGCATCTTCAGCAGTTTCCTTGATGGACTTCTTGGAAGCCTAGCAAATGTCAGTAGACGAGAATAGCCATTATTCCCTCATTTTAACTTGCACACTTTGGCATGACTATGCAGAGTTTCATTTTCTACCTGGCAAAGAGCTGGAACTTCTGGTCCAAGTAGCAGACATCATATAAAAATAAATGTCTTCCCTGAGAGATCTAATGTACTTTAATGATCTCTCCTTAGCTTACATGGTTGTCTTACAAACGGCGCCACTCCTTAGAAAGCTGAACGTATACAACTCCTTTTCAGCTGCCAGAAATGAAGAACAACGTGCTGCTGTTTTCCTGATGTCCAGAAAAAACAATTAACTGTCTTGCTACAGAGCAGCCGTGTGTTACTGCAGCTTGCTGGCTCTTTTCAGAGCACAGGATCTTTCTTCACCCAGTGTGCAGCACAGATCCCAGCCTGCTCTGGATTTCCTTAGTGAATACTTGTTTAGGGGGATAGGCTAAAGCCAGGCCAAATTTAGCTCTAGAACTAAACTTCCTCAAAGCTCAGGTATTCATATTGCAGCTTGTGCACTAGGCCTTTTTCTGATACATGGATATCATAGCCTTTGTGCCATGACTGTATAGGCCCCAGTGTGAAATAGGAGAATGCAATTCTAGATACTATTTTGCTAGAATATAAATTGATCTGAAACTAATGCTATTTCACTTTCCTCTTTACTCGTGTGTTAAAGCAGGGCTGTCCAACTTGTGGCCTGCAGGCTGCACACAGCTCACAAAGGGTTAATGATGGTCCCCCAGGGCTCACATCCAGCCACTGCTGCCCCCAGCAGCCAGGGGCTCCAAGCACCGCCTTGCTCCAGCTTCCTCTTCCTGCCCCGACCCCTGCCCCTGGGGGTGGAACAGTACAGCACTGTGCACCCCAGGGAACCTGAATCCTGGGGTGCCTGATTGCACATGCAGTGGGGGTGTAGCTTGGGAGGGAAGGGTATATTGGGGCATTTGGTGTAGCAGGGGGGACATGTGGCCTCCAAACATGTGGTCCCTGCCAATGAGGCTTCTCCTAGTGTCACCCAAAGAACATGCAGCCCCTGGCCACTTGGAAGTTGGATAGCCCTGCATTAAAGCGATGGAATTGATTATATTCTTTTAAGTGCTCATTCCACGGCAAGGTACGTGTCAGGGAAATTTTAGAAGTTCCAGCTGAAGAGGAATAACATAGTTAAGCTCCAAAAACCTGAGGTTAGGGAAGTTTTATTGGAGACACTGACCACAATTCTGAGCTGTTTCTGTTCAAAGCAAGGGGACAAGGATTTTCCAACACTTTTCCAGCTTCTCAGTTCTGTGCCAGGTCAGAGGCTGATTTAGTCTCTAGAGGAAAAACAGGATCCCCAGGACTGTTCCAAATTATACCCAGCCATGTGTTATTGAGGTACTTAAATGAGATGTGACTGAGGTGCTCTGTATATAGGATGGCACACCCAATACACTAGTATGGGCAACAAAGGAGGATAGTATAAAGTATTGGGCTAGGTCTATACCCACCCTGAATTCCACCTAGGTCAGAGGAATTTTATAGTAATCATTTAAGGTAGCATTACAGCCCTTTTATAGAGACAAAGCAGCACAAAAGGGCATGAACAGGACCTAGAATCAGGCTCATTAATGAGCCAGCATTTTCTAATACCCATAGATACCACAACTGTGGTCAGATTTGCATAAGAACTCAGCTCCCATTTAGGCAACAAAACACACAGCAAGATTTTCTAGAGAGTTTGACAATGTTGGATGCTGAGCTGTCTGACCTCACACAGTGATAGTGGTATCATGAAGAGTCATTAAAGTAAGCTGCATCCATGAAGAGCATCCACGCACATTCACCCACCTTTCCAATACTGTGCAGCATTTATTTTGAACCCAGATATTAACAAGGAGGTTTGATTTAAGTATTCAAGGTTATAAGAGTTTGGAAACACCAGTTTGACACCAGCTATGATCATCTCAGATTTGCTTCTTTAGTTTGCAATCCACTCCAGATCTCTTTGCAGTATGAGGGAGAGAAAACAGAGCTAGACTACTACTAATACTTGATGTACATGAAGCTATTTTAGGAACAGCTGCATGAGGCTGCCTGGAGTTTAGAAAATGGAACAATTCTTATCACATCTACCACATTCAGTCTGGGGACAAAGTCTGAAGGAAATCAATAATGAACACATAAAAGGGGTTCTCCCTCCAAATACTTTCATCTTAGAAGCTGGAGAATAGTTGTCTTATCAGCCATCTTTGGACGCACAGATGAGACCTATCCAGGATCAACAGACTCTACTGAAGCTTGGTTTCCATGTGGGGTGGGTGGCGCTGGATTCTTGATTTGGTCTGTGGCGCACGGTTTCTGCCAGTTTCACTTTTCCATCTCTTCTTGTTGGCATGAGGTTTCAAAGTACTGAAATCCCTGCAGCAGACTCTTCTTCCATTTGGGGCGGTTCCAGGTGATGGTCTCCCATGAGTTAACATCTATGTTGCATTTTTTTAAGTTGGCCTTGATACTTATCTACAGATGCTTACCTACATATAATTATCTGGAGAATCCAAAGGATTTTATTCCTGGCTAGCACTGATTTGAGTGGCCAAGCAATGATCGGCACTGAGATTGCTTACCATGGATAGAAATGCATTGTGTTTAGTGTGTAGTGGCTAGATCTCTGGGTCACCCAAAAGAGTGTAAATGTTCCACACCAAAGTGAAATAATTCTTTAACCCCTACGTTGAAGAAATCCCCTACTATGTTGCCAGGTTAGTCAACACCATCCAAGGTATCTTAATTAAACAGCCTGATTTATTTTCTAGTAGTCACTGCCTAGTGACCGTGTAGTAATACACGGACTAACAGGGTTTGAGGTGACATTGTGGTCATAGATTTATTCTCCCATCACAAGCAAAATTTGGTTTTACATGTTACTTCACAGGCAGATCAAGGGAAAATTGCTGTTGGAACCATGCTGAAGTCATATGTGCCCGGCTTTCCAGAAAACCGTCTTTAGATAAAAAACTCCCAGCCTGTCCTTTTAATTTGAGTTAATGACTACTGTTTGATTTTTTTCCCCCCCACAGGTATACAGTTTTACACAATGGGCATCATCAGGAACATGAGAAGCTTCCCATCCACAATGACCCAGAATCCCAGGAGTCCTGTTTCTAACCAAGATCCTGGAAGAGAACAATCCACCTTCAGGACTAGAAGGTGCTTGGGCTGTAGTACTTTAATACAAACTCATTCATCTTCATTTTCATGGTGCCTCTTGTATGGATCTGAGATGAATGCCCAGCCTCATGAATATGGAGACTCATGAGGCACAGGAGGGGATGTAATGAACAGGATGATTGAGGAGACCTCTCGGCTGCTGCAGAAGAATGTCTGGACCGTGTTATCAGAGCAGGACCATATCTGCAGTGCTTTACAGGGGAATGCAGATGTACTTCACTGTATACAGATAACACCCACGCAAACCACGCTCAAAAACAGAGTGCTATTTTTTCCTCCGCTGCCATCTTTGCACAGGCCACCTCCTTGTTTTTTGACAATGATATTGTGATCTTATAATTTCAAAATTTGACTTGAAAACCTAACATGAAACCATGGTAAATTCTTCCTTTATCTTTTTAAGGTCACACCCACATATTATGGTGCTATCAGGAGAGGTAGCACTTCCGTATTCTTTATTAAAATGTGAGGGTTTTTTTATATGCTTTATTTGTGTGATGTCAGCATGAACTGCTGATTTCCGCCCATCCCATGAAGTCTTGTTCTGTAGATGCTTTTTAATAAGTCTCTTCAACCAAGATCTCTGTTGGAAGATTCATGGAGCAAAAGCAGCCCATGAAGATCTGAAACAAGCCCCACAGAGATGTACTATATTTGGTAAGGATATATGGCCCACAGGGACTGTGCAAGTCCCTGCAAATGCTATTTCATCTTGAGCTAAGTGGCCAGAAGACAGCAGTCATGTTCTGTTCTATTTCCTGCAATTAGATGTGGGTCCCAATCTCCTGGCAAGTCATCAGTGCAGTCCTTATTTGGGCAAACTTTGGGCGCTCCTACTGTAAAAGAAGGTTGGTGAAGAGATTGGAGAATATCAATCTGTAATTGATCACTAAGTGCCATCTTGATAAATGTGTGTCATCTAAAGAGCTTTTCTACCTAAAGCTGTAAGAATAAATCCCATTTGCATGATTTTTTTTGGATTCCTTCCAGCTCTGAGACTTATTTAAGAAGTTTTAGAACTTTCAACTATTGCTGTACACACTTGTCCCCTTACAAAAATCTCAGTTCCTAGGTACTTCCTGCATGCATATGTTACTATGTTTCCTGTAAGAAGATTCCTCCTTTGCATGTGAATGACACGCATGGCTGTAGAGCTAGGGACCTTGGGAGTCTGATTTTAATTGAGGGGGAAATGTGCAGGTTCAAGACTGTGAACCTGTAACCTCTTGGATGAAGATGTACCCCAAAGATGACAGCCACAACGTGCAAAACAGAACTGTATTTTGTTACATTGTGTTATCATGTACAGATTTTTTAATGTAAAGAAAAAAAGTTGACATTATTTATTATTATTTTTTAAAAAGGAATTAAGTGTTTCTCCATTAAAAGCTTCTAAATGTGGGAGCTTAACACACACACATATATATATTATTTTATTAATGTTCTGTTGCTATGTGACAGGTATTTACTGTAAAAGAACTACTCTGAACAAAGAAAAAATATTGCTTAGTAAGAAGATTTTGTATCTAAGGGCAAGTGGGTTTCCTATTACCATGTCTAACTATCCTTGACTTCCTTGATATGTTCTTCTCACCCAGGACAGAGCTGTTGCTAAAGGTTCTCTTTCTGTTCCTTTAATAGTCCTAATTTGATGAAAGGGTAGAACTAAACAGTTTTTTCATCTAGAAAATGAGGTGATTATAAATGGGTGAAGAACCAATGCTTGTGACTATAAGCACTGGCAGTAAATGTAACAAGTGCTCTAAAAGAGTGGGCAGGTTACATAATATGAGACAATTATAGGTTTATCATTAGACTAAATTCTGCAACCATGTTCTCACAGAGTTGATTTTCACATGGTTCAGGCCTCAGTGAAACTGTTTGTATAAGGAATACTGCTCACAAGATTGTTTGCAGGATTAACAGCTAAGGCTGTAGAACAAAATGATGGATCATCGCATTCATCCCAAGTGTCAAACTTCTTCAAATAATATCTAGCAAAGCTTTTTCTCTGTCCCCACAAGAAGGCGCTGGAAAAGATTAGCTGAAGATATCTGTAAATGGTATGGGATCAGTTGCATGGTGATGCAATGGTAGTGGTGCAATGGTGTTTCATCTTTCCTCTCATGTTCTTGGCCTGTTGTTTACTCTCTATGTATTTTAATGTGCTTTGACAATATATCTGTTCTTAATTTAAGAAAAAAAATCCTCAATACTGTATGTTTCTTATGGAAAACATTCAACTGAGATATTCAGCTCACTAGGCAAAATGGTCAGTGGCTTTGAAACAGAGACCCCCTATTCCAAACTACTTAGCATATTTAAGAAATACAAATGTCTGTGTTGTGTGTCACTTCTGGCTAATGGCTCATTGATACCAAGTTCAGGAGGTTTCTGTAAGTTAGCCTGTAACTAGCTACCTGGCAGCTATCATCAAGTCAACAGTTACAGCAATGTTTCTGCATGCCCAGTGAATTACACTGTCAGACACCAAAATGACCCAGTACTTCTCTGGGGATTTGGGGTGTCTCGTGATTGGAGCCAGCACTTGGTTCCTTCTCTAAAGCTTCATTTACCTGCTCGTTGAATGACTGCAGCAGATTGGGAGTCTGCCATTTCATTGCCCATTCTGGCTAGTGAGTTTGGAGCCCATACCAGGTGCTCAGGTGATCCAGTTTCAATCCGATTCAGCACAGCAGAAGTACAGTGCTGAGTAGTGTGTGATACATCTGTCATTTTTATAAATAAAATTCCTCTGTGTACATTGCATGAGAGTTAATTCCATTTTTTCTGTATTATTTACAGTATTTTTAAGTGGTAATATGTAATCAGCTGAGCCTTTCTGCATGGGTAAAGTGTTTCGGGGGGGGGAGGGGGGCAGTGTCTCTTTGATTAGCTCTCTGACACTGAGAAAGCTATATGATCTAGAACAATTATACCATAGCCTGGTGGAGGAGGAGACTGCAAGATATGAGTCCTAGTGACTGCTTAATAGCTGTTTCAAGGGGATTGTTATATCAGGGCTACGATCTGTAGCCACTGTTATGAAAAGAATGCTAGGGAAACAGTCAGCTCTAAGACACATCATGAATATTATCAACATTGGTGGGAAACCAGTTAAACCAGCTTTTTCTGGAAGGTCAGATCCTTTGCTTGTATAAATCAACAGAGCCCCAGTGACCACCATGGAACTATATACATAGGTCTGACTGCTGAAGGCAAGAATTGTTTCTGAATTTGCTGAATAGTGAATCCTGATTCTCCCCTGCCTCACATCCCGTCTTGCCATTCACACATGCAAAGAGAGCGTAAAATGCCACCACATCAGAATAATAATGTTATACACTTGTTTAGCACATAGGCAGAACTGAATATGTAGTTGAGGGAGAATCAGACCTCTTAGCCTAGAACAATAAGGTTCCTGAGTCACAAAGTAAGGTTTTTAAGTTTCCTTTTTCCCCAGTCCAATCCCACTAAGTACTCCAAGGCTTCTCTGTCCTCACTTTCTTCCTTTACACCCTTATAGTAACATCACTTGTTTCATCTTTCAATGGCGTTCTCTCCTGTCCTGTGTATGATCACCCCTTTCACTTTATCAAATACTAGGATTACACTGGTATATAATAAGACTCAACTGATAATCACTTAAAACCTGGTATCTTATCTACTTTCCATTAAAAAAAAACTGTAATAAAAGGGCAGATATAATTTTGTGCAGTTGATCTATGGGGCTAGTCTTGGTCCTCACACTGACTGAACTACACAGAATTGGGAAGAATTTCTCTTTCATCATGTATTCCATCTAAAGTGCATTGCAACCAGTGACCAAATGTTTTACTTATTCATGCACATCAATACTGGCTTGCAGACTGCAGCATTACCAAGCATACTTTCCAAGAACAATTTACATGTTGGTGCATACAGCGTATCTCCAGAGTGTCATGTTTGATCCTCTTAGTAGCATTGCCTGATGCCTGTGTTTAGATCCTGTTTTACATGTTCTGGCCAGTGATAAAGTGCTCATACAACAGCTGGCTAGTAGAAAGGTGGCTCCCTACACCACAGCTCACCCAACTTCAGCATATGTAACTGCGTTTTGCAGACTATTCTAGGTCCGGCATGAAGTATTTTGGGACATTGCCAGCAGGGAACCTGCCCAGAGAAGCAAATACAAAAACTAATTAAGAGCACTTAAGAAAATTTATTGATGATAAAAGGAAGTTGTAAAGAAATGAGATAATGGCTCAAGGATAGGCTGGGAATCCAGTTTAGTCCAATCTTCCTATCCATCTTCTTTTGGTTGGGTTTTATGAGCCAAATACCTTCTCTAACATGGAGCTTTTCATCTGAAAAGGATATGATGTACTACCTGCTTTATGATTTGCTACCTGCTAGCCCTCCACTTTGGGGGCTCCAATCCACTCACCCCACCCTCCATTGCTGGCTGGGCAACCCCCAGAACAAGCTCCCTTTGCTCCCTTTCCCTCCTCCCATTATGAAAACAGTGCTGGGAGTGGGAGAGGGGAAGGGCATTGCTAGTGAACATCTGTTGGGTCCAGGGGATCGTTGAAACTCATGGGGCTTCCTGCAAAGTACCATGAGTTACAACGGGGAGCTGCTCTTTTGTCTGCTCAGAAAAAGAGCTGCGTGGACCTAATAACCCCTGAAGCTAGCCTGGTTAAGTCAAGCCAGTTCCTCTATTCAACAGCATGCAGAAGAATGATGGGTTTAGTATCATATCCAGCCATCTTTAACTCCTCAGCCTTAATAATGACGTGTACAGCTGGGTGAGCTTTTTGGAACAAGTCCTGAGGGAGGCTGCACAGCTGGAGCCACAGCATGGTAGCTTGTTGCCCTGATCCCACATCTTATGCTACAAATGATCACTATTCCAAAATTCAAAGCCACCATTCTCTTGTGTTGTTTTAGAAAAGATAGAAAAATAATCACGCGTAATAAACACATTGCAAATAGTCAGTGCCTGCAGAATAGAAGGAAGCTCTGAAGAAGAGTGCAAAGAAGAAACTGTGCATTTCAGTTAACTGATGAGCGAGACTGTCTGGAGAAACACAAGGCAGTAAATGCATGGTTCATGTTCTGTAAATGCCAGTGCTTCAGGCAGTCAGAGGCTGTATTGCTTACTGAGCTGCTACCAAGGAGGTCATTCTCGTAAACACCATGAAATGAATGTTTATGGGGGTTTTTTTGTCCCTCATACTTGTCTCCCTCACTTCTATTTTAGCATTTAGTTTATATTGCCAGCTTTTACTCCTGGAGGGGAGCAATGTATGAAAATAAAGGAGGATATCTTAGATGGGATATATGCTTTACAATGTACAATTAGCAATTATTTCTCAAGCAATTTAAAGGCCAAGCCTCAATCTACCCTCAAATTGTAGACATGAAAACAACAGTTGCCTTTTCATATACGACCTACATTAAAAAAACATTTGTGTGTCATCTGGGTAGAAGTATCTAGAGCTGTGAAGGGTTTCAGGACTGGAATAATACACAGCAGAAAAGACTGAAATTGAAGTGTATTTGACGAGATGTGTAGGAAATACAAACAGTTCCTACCCCTAAGATTCCTGACTCCCAACATATGGGTTCCATGTCTACCTTGTGAAACACTAAAATTCACCAGAATCTCAAATTCATTGAAATTGTGTGTGTGTGTGTGAGCATGCCACAGACCCCTTTCTCTCTGCCTTTTTCTTTTTAGCACATTACCTCTGTTAACTGCAGGTACTAATTCTTACCTGGCTGTCTTCCCCTTTGCCAGTCACAAGAAAGTGGAAGGGAGCATGTAACAGCTCTTGGCTACCAGGTATACCAAGCTGTTGGTAAGATTGTCTTATCAATACAAATATAAGGATCATCATAATAAGAGCCTAAGCCACGTACCAGACCATTAATGAGTAGTCATTGGATATTCACGCATTTCCATGGGTCATAATCTGAGATTAATTGTGACACTTAATGTAGTTTGATTACTGCATGCAATACAGTCTCAACAAGGGACCTGATGGATGTACTATTAAAGCCATTACTTCTGGCTAATGGCTCTTTGATACCAAGTTCAGATTTCTGTAAATTATCCTGTCACTAGCCATTACTATAGTCACCTTGATTCTGAGTGAAATGGCTCAAAAGAATCTACTTTACTTCCAATAATATAGGATTTTTTTCTAGGGCTCTCTGCTACAATGAAGGACACTACGTAGAATGTCTACTTAAAATACTTACAGAACAGCTAGACAAGTAACCGAACACATAAATGTGAATCAGAGAATTGATGATGTTATATGATGCTTGCACTGTCTTTGGCTCACTTGTCAAAGACCCTTACTTTGCCCTCAACTCTCCTGCAGGCCTCCAAGTGGAAGCGAGAGCTGAGCAAATAATCAGCATAC